TTTAAGTCATTTCGATATCAAAACTTGTCGGATAGAGCTGAAAATTTTAAGATATACATAACTCGATATCCTCTATAACATATCAAAGAATCAGCGGATTCTGGAATGTCGCTCCATCGTCGATGTCTGATAGTGACTGATTTTCTCAGAGAATCACTCTTAAGAGCAGGTACATATCTATACGATGAAAAACAAGAAGTTAAAGAATAATTAACACGAGTTAATTTTTGGATAACAGCTGAACAATTTCCATCCGTTGAAAGAAAGAAGAGAATATAACCATACGCAAGGACATCATTTTTCTCATAAGAAACTAAATGACTACACGTTGAACCTTTTCGAGAATAAAGAAAAGAGTGATAAGTGGTATTAAGATAATGAAGACGAGAAAAAAATATCGTATTAGAAAAAGTCAATTGATTTCCTGCTCAAGAAGAACCTTTCACAAATGCTTTCAAATGGCCAAGAAAACTTTCGAAAACAAAGTTTGTTACCTAATTTAGTCGACCGAATTTTTTACATTGAAAAGAAAGATACAGATAAGCATGAGTTGATATTGTAAGTAGTTTGGGTGGATACACATTGGAAATAACATTTTTTGATAAGTTTTTACTGTAAATTTTCAATAAATTAGATATTGAATCACCTAATTTTTTATCATTATCCCAATAGTCGTGTAAAAGACGAAGAATAACATTGTATAAAGCAAAATCTCCAATTCTTTCTTCAGGTAAAAATTCAGCAAGTACAGGCGAGCCAATATATAAAATAAATAATTGTACTTCAGATACTTTCCATTTTTCAACATTGGAGAATGATCGTGGTCGACGAAGAATATCATGTATAAGACTTATTGAATGAAGTTTTAAATTAGTTTATAAAAGATTTTCTCTTGTGATAAATGTTTGTAAAGGAATAAGAAGTTTTTTGGAATGACGTAAGAAAACTGTATGAATTGCATCAATAACAACGGAGTGAGGTAGAGGAACGTCGAGAATCTCGGAAAAAGCACTCAAATCTTTGACACCCATTGTTCTTTCCCGATCTATTCATGTTTGCATTAAAGCAGCTAATTGAACGCATTTGTCAAAATTCTCGCTCGTCCTTAACTCCGTATCATTATCGATAAGATATATTACGCAATGTCCATCATGATTGTAGATCCCTTTTATGTTGCAAAACGTGCATGCATACGAAGCATTATGTTCTACAAACTGGACCATAGTAGATAAAGCAGCCATATCGTCCATAAGCATAGGAAAGAGAACTTTTACTATTTGGTTATTATTTACGTCAACACACCCATTTTTAAGACGAGATATTCATTTAGAAAGTTTTTCAAAAATAATATTAAAGTTTGACTTTTGTTTTCCTATCCAAAGAGAAAGAAGAAGAGTATTATCAGCACAAGTTCTAGAATATGGTGGAAGTTCCAAAACAGCACCTAATATAGGCCATGCATTACAATTTTTAGATTTATGCAGAGGAATGCCGTCACTATGAATCATAACAGATACAAAAAAATCTTTATGAACATTTAGTATAGATTGATAAACATCACCTCTAACAACATCGTTTGCATCAGATGTAGTTTGTGTTCGTGCTTCATTCTGATATTTTTGAAGTAGATCTATATTTTTATCAATTAATATCTTCAACTGTTCAGCTAAATCGAATGAAACAATTTCAACTACATCATCAGATGGAATCTCCATTGCTTCATGAGTACAATCAATTGTTGAACAAATTCCATATGTTGATGAATGATAACACACGCCACATATCTTTTCTGATTGATATAATTTTCCAATATCGATATATTTGTCTTATTTCGTATACGATTTACCTCTGTTTGATGATTTGTTGCAACAGAAACAAGATCATGATTATCTTCAGATAAAGAAATAGGATCTTGTTGTGGTTGTTTGTTTTGTTCCTGTTTTTGACTTTTATGCTTTTCATTCTTACGAATATCAGTAACTTTTTGTACGAGACTTTTGTTCGAATGGAAGCCCATATACTACCAATATCTTCCTCTTTAAAACCAAATCTTTGCCGTACGGCTCCCAGAAAAAAAAATAAAGAAGGATAGGTATAAAAAGATAAGAATATTTGTAAACTTTGAAGTAAATCAACAGATTCTTATGGAATTGGAACACGATTTTCTGTATGACCACGAAAATCTGATAAATAACCTCTTGTAAATTCTGCATCTGTTAAAACAATACGTGCAGCTGATAATAAAAATCTACTAGCCGTTTTGCCACGTAGTGTCATCAAGTTGACTTTATTTACGATCTGAAAAGAAAACTTGCCATTCTAAAATAGATTCATTTGCAATTACTAAAGGTTCAGTTGGTAGTGATAGATTATGTTTCTAAAAAAGAAAAATAGTGATAGCTAAAGCCTTTCAATTAATTCCTTTAAATCGACAATTTTTTTTTCTATTTGATCGAGATTTTATAGTTTTATCTGGTGGAACTGTGTTAAATAGTAAAATCATATGTAAATAACTGGTGACATTCTGTACCTTATTTGTATCCGATGCTCGTTTTTGCATACTATATACTTTTTTCATCATTTTTTAAAATCACCTAAGTTGTTTTGAACTATTTTCACTACTTTGTTTTCAATATCCGACGACAACAATGGACTTCATGATGCTAATTGTTCTTTTGAAGATTCTTGATCAGGCTTGTTGTTTTTTGATTTTAATTCCACATTGAAATTATGAACTCGTTCTAAATTAAAAATATTAAATCTTTCTAGGCTTTCATACCCTGAGAGAAATTTACATTTATAGCCCAATTACAAGACTTCAGAAAATCAAACATAGTTTTCTCCACTGTTTTCTAAAGGTCCAAGGTAAATGACATGTGCTTCTGTTCTGATGAGGATACAACCGATTATTATTGATTCAATGCAAAAAATGCAACAAGTGAATTTATAATTGATTTTAATAAACATTTAAATTCAGGAGAGAGTAGCTCAATGATGAATTTTATTTTAAACGGCTTTAAAATTATTGACGCCACTGTACAATATCAAATGAAATAGAGTCGATCTTAGTTTCAACAAATATCTTACAACTGAACTACCACAAAAGACATTATCCTTGCTTACATTGACGTTTGAAAGCGCATGAGTTTTATGTTGAATGAATACTAATCAAAAGCCAGTTAAAAACATAAGGAAATCTTTTCATATATTCTTGCCAGGATCCTTAATACAAACAGTGACAAATCTTGACAGAATCTTCGAAACTAAACTCTGAATAGACATCATACATACATCTGCAAAAATCTTCGTAAGATTCTCCTATTTGCTCACGAAGCTTCTGATCATACTCGAATTGTTTTATAAGAATTCGAAATGCTTGTTCTTGAAGAGTTTCGAGCAGGATCGTGATCGAAGTTTGGCCAGATTTATTGTTTTAGGATTTTGATAGATCTTGTATTAATTGTGGGTGTGGGTGTGGGTGTGGGTGTAGGTGTGGATGGGGTGTGGGTGTGGGGTGAGTGTGGGTATGAGTGAAGGGAAGATTAACACCCACACCCACACCCACACCTACACCCACGCCCAAGCCCACACCCACACCCACACTTACACCCACACCCGTCAAGATCTACTTGGAAAGGTCTATCATTGCGTTGGAAAGGTCTTCTAGGAAAATCGCGACGGGTTGTGGCAAAACCTGAGAAATCCGGCCCTGGATTGGCCGGTTTCCAGGGTTCCAAAGCAGGAAATCGAATTTAAAAGGTGTGCATTCGATAGAGTGCGTCAAGATCTACTTGGAAAGGTCTTCTAGGAAAATCGCGACGGGTTGTGACAAAACCTGAGGAATTCGGCCCTGGATTGGCGAGTTTCCAAGGATCCAGAGCATGATATCGAACTTAAATGGTGTCCATTAGATAGAGTGCGTCAAGATCTGCTTGAAAAGTTTTATCATCACGTTGGAAAGGTCTTCTGAGCGAATCGCGACAGGTCCTACAGAATTCCGTGGTATTTTGGTGCGTTTTTGTGTAGTTTTAGGCGGTTTTCTGGTCTCATGAAGGATTTAGTTTGCAGAGGATAGTCGGGATGGATGGAGCTTGCAAAAATCTACTTGGAAAGGTGTTTATCTCGGTTGGAAAGGTGTTTGGGACGAATCCATTCTGGAAAAACTCGAATCCTGACCTAACATATCCTACGTGTGGTACTTTTGGCCGCTAGTGTATTCCACAACACAGAAAGAAAGCTGTGAGCGTTATCCTTGAAGGATTAAAATGTGAACCACGATGAATCTGGTTATATTGTAAATGAAGGAATTCAGTAACATATCTATCAGTTTTTGAAATATTAGATACTGTTACAGTGGGCGCTGAAACAGAACGAAAAACATGTATTTTAAGTTCCATCGTTTTTTAAAAAAATTTCACAATAAACCTCAGTGTCGTGGTTATTTCTGTCACGATCTGTGACGATTTCGATAGTAATGTCGCTTATGATCCGAGGGGAGCAGACCTAAATTTCTACTCTTATAATTCAACACTCTTTTTAGATCGTGTTTCAAAAAATTTTCAAGAAATCACACCATTCTTCGATTCAAACTTAGCCTAACCTTATGGCGGATCCGCCGTCAGGTTTTTCTGTTGAAAATCTTACACGTTAGAAAAGATTGCATCAGTACATCATAGATTTGTTTGCAAATTTGATTCTGATTGGTGGATTTTCATTTGGATTCTCTATCATGACTGATCAGTTTCACTACATCCACTATCCTAGTTGGCCGACTTCTTGATTTCCTCCTGAGATTAATCCGTAATTTTTCCTCGTCAATTCCGATTAACAGTGAGGACAAACCGACCAATCAGGTTTTATTCACTCACTAGGCGTTATCGTTTAAACGTACTCTCAAGTCATAAACACGTGACCATTTCGAGAAGTTGTCTCGTCAGTTTAGTAAATTTTGCACCTTTATCCTACTATAGATACCATTGTAAAAGAGTTTTTCCCTTTTCTAGACGTTCTTTCTGTATGATTCCAACTTTTTGTCTACGTCAGACACATATTTAAATGATACCTTACCAACAAATCCAGTAAGTTAAACCTATATAACATTTTTACTCGAAAGTTAATAAATATATTTTTTTCTTTCTAGAAAGCACAAACTCAACCCAGCATTATTCTATTAATGAACCAAACGCCAAGGACATTATTCTAACTTATTTTAAATTATAGTTTATTTCTTATGTTTAGTTAGTCTCCTTTTCTTCCTTCATTTTATTTATTTAATATTTTTATTTTTTTATTTTTTATCAATTTTTTTTCCATTTCATCTCAATTTTTTTTGCTTTTTCCTCAATTTTTTTTCATTTTATCTCAATCTTTTTTTTATTTTATCTCAATTTTTTTTCATTGTTTTGCAGTATTTCTTAGTCTTCAATAAAAATTAATAATCAACCGATATTTGTTTTTTCTATAATCTAAAACGCAGCTAGTGCAAGATAGCGAAAGAAGAACAAGTATAAAAAAGAAACAAAAGAAACAAAAACAAGAATAAAAAAGAAATAAAAACAAGAATAAAAAAGAAAAACAGATAGAACACCATATCAACATTGCATTAAACTTATTTTGCTTAAGCCGACGGCCAGAAAAAAGAAAAAAGTAGTAAATACCACTGTATTGATATACGATTGTTTACATATCTTTCATGAAGACACTAGCTGTTACTCACTAGATTTTTTTTTCTATTGTCTTCATCACTCCTCTATAAATAACATATTTGAGATAGAGAATATGAAAAGCTACGCAATTTTTATTTATACAATAGAAAAAAGCAAGATGTGAATAGTAAAAATAAAAATAAAGAACGGAAAATTAACATATCGAAAATCAATCGATGCTATGCACATCAAGTTTTATTCAGTTCCATCACAATTCAAGACAATTGACTGAGAAAGAAAAGACAGAAAGAGAATGATGATGAATAGGCAAATGATAAAAGAGGCTTGAATGTTTCAAATAAAGACAAAAGTCATTATAACGCATAAATTTTCATCTTCTACAATGGTCGAACTATACATTTTGTAGTAGATGAAATAAAAAAGTCGTCATCTTTTTTTTACAAATTCATAGCAATGGTGATACGGTTGACTAATATTCAGGTTTAGAAGTCAGTTGGAAAACATTGAAAACAAGATCTATATTGTCTTTCTTGCGAATAATAGTCATAGTAGAAGAAAATTTGCTTAGGTGATTCTAATGATGAGATTGATTAGCTTTGTTCTTTCATTTCTTCAATTCCCGTATCACAGCAAATCAAATGAATCGGCTTATCTCCTTTGTTTATGTATCAAATAGACACATTCAGATAAAAACAAATAAATTACACTTCTATTTCGATATTTTCAAAGACATTTATAAATAATTTTCTCTATTACAACATATGAAATTGATTGTATCTATGTAAAAGTTATGATTTTAATCAAATTTTGAAGCATATAGCGATGTTTTAGTTAATTATTATTATTCTTTTTATTGAATAAAACTTTGACATTGTAGAAAATGAAGCTATTATTATCGATGAAAAACAAAACATGTACATATCGATTTATTCTCTATACACACGTGTAAGTAACATGAGAAGGAAAAGAAAAAGAAATGAGACAAAAAAAGAGAGATAAAAACCAAATTAAACAGAGCTTAAAAAAATTAATATTACAACATGAGAAGATAATTTAACAAGAAAAGATAATCTAACCTAACAGAACAAGATACATACACACATGTGATATCAATAAGAGAAATTTAGTATTGATATCTTTGCTATAATGTGTATTACAGTTGATGATGATATTTGTTTCGTGCTGAACGAACAAAGTTATCGATCGACTTGTGCATATACTTTTTCTTTTTTTGTTTCTTTTTTTCTTTTTTCTCTTGCTGTTCTTCTTCATGATGTTAAATGGGAACAATAGAGAGAAAGAGAGAGCCCATTATAATGATAGGTAGCAAGCATATGATAAAAGAGAATAA